GCAAGTTTCATTTCCCTGTGAAAGCTCCTCTGGCAGTGAGGGCGTTGCGAAGTTGCGACATCTGACGACCGTGCAGAGGTTCACTTATGACGTCATAGGTCAGTGACCTGACCTGACCTGAAAATACGGTTGGTGTCAAAAGATCTGGCTTGAATCAAAGGTCAGGTATGCCAAGTTTCAGCTCTCTATCGCTAGCGTGTTCGGAGATATCGCGAAAAAAACCCTTTGGGGGGGGGGGCGGCACCCGCTCCCCCCCTCGGCCGGCCAGGTTTAAACGTGTAGGTAATATTGTCGGGAAGAATGGGGTAATTTGGCCGTTTTTTTTTTAGAAAACGATGTAGCTTAAAATTGACGATATCTTTCTGCATTTCCTCAACGCTGGCAGGTGTCGCATTCATTTTATCTTACTGGACAGTACCTAAACTTGAAATGATCGAGTAACTTTTGTATTGAAGTTGTGGTGTATTACAAAGGTCTACAAAGCGGGTAAATTACCCAACCAGCAGGGTTATTTGGCCGGGGTGTGGGGCATTTTGGCCGGTATTAGTTTGAGGTCGGGATTTTTTGTTATAGGCGAGTCAGCTTCAGATTAAGCAATGACGTGTCACGTGTGTCCTATGACGCAGTTGACACATTTTGGAAGTTGACTTAGCGGTCATAACGGGTGTCTACTAAATAATGAGAAAAAGTTCAAAGGCCTACATCTCGGTAATTACGTAACTTAGATCATTCAAAATTCGCATGCGGATGCACCGATTTATTGGTTATCAAGAACCTTCGAAGCAACGCACTGATTTCATCATGTTTCACGTTAGGCCGCACGAGCCACCCGACCCCCTCGATCAAACGTCGCGGCACCTCCACGTTAAAAGCGTATGTAAAAATCAAAACGATTGAACTGTGATATTTGCTCTATGTGTGCCTCTTGTTCTCCTTTTAGACGCTGATGACGGCGATTTAGCCGAAACGCGTTCGTCTATCATTTTTTCCGTGTTATTATACTTGTCTCAACTGAAATACAATTTTATTTTATTCACTAAAGGACATGATGTGGAGTTTGCTAATGTAATAATTGAATGAGGACTTTACTCCACAAGAAATTGTTCGGGTCGGAGCTTTCGAATTGTATTACAAAGCTTCGTCAGCGTATCGTAATCGGGTTCGGGGGTATCGGTCGCAAAATTGAGTGTTTGACCGAACCCGAACACGATTAATTAATTGACCGAACCCGATTACGATACGCTGACGAAGCTTTGTAATACAATGGGGTTGGGAACTCGGTTTTTTAAGAATGTATAGAAATGATTAAACTATTTTCGCAGAATTTATGGTGCATACAATTTCCTCATAAAATCATTATGCTGAGAGAAATGGGGGAAGACAGACAGAAAACATGTTTTTTAAAGTTCTTGAAAAAGACGCTCTTGATGCTGTTACGTCACATGTCACCTTCTGCGGTTGACAAATAACGGCGCATCTGGCGCACCACCGATTACATGTTATTTCTATGTGTGAAAGAGATTTTTTGTTTCACTCTGCCATTCACGCTGTTTTTAGCTTTAAATTACGCTAAAGCATTCACGAATGGAAGGTTCAGTGTCAAAAATGGATGCGTCTGCCGTGTACTGTTCCCATTTAACATTGAGCGCGTGGTTAACATTTTGTGAACCTCGAATTTTCAAATGAAAAACATGATGAACCGGGAGATGCTGAAGGGCAAAAGCCTTTCCAATGCGCATCTGGCCTAATTTACGATTAAAATTTTGAAATTTCTCTAATCTTATTAACAATTTCTTTGTTTTTTTTCATAAAAATAACTTAAGGCGTTGAGAACCGAGGTAATTTCTATCTACCGTGCCTTAACTTACCAGCAACAGCAATCTATCTACGCCCTACGGTGGCAAGGGAGACTGTGAAAGAAGCGTGAGATGGATTCTAAACAATTCTTTTGTGATATACTGAAGGGCAAAGTGCTGAGAAAAGCATGCAAGTCCTGTTTTGTGCCAGGCTGTTGCACAGAGGTGCACAAAAGGTCCAGCCTGTCTCCTACACGGTCTCCGATGGCTCCGGTTTGTCTCACCGATCATCCTTAGGTATATCCAAGCATATCTATGCTTTCAAGTAAAGCTGGTTATTTTACGTTACAGTTATTAATATTTACAGGACGTAAACGCTATTCCTGAAGTGTTTTTTTCCTGAAGCCATCCGCAGCTATATCGTAATTTTTTAAGAAGCCGACAGACGTACGGTTATGCGCTGCTTTGGGCAAAGTGCGAGGCAGGGCTTGGTACACCTCCACCTGAAATGCATACTGGTGGTGTATAAATAGACTAGAGTGAGGCGGTCTGGTTGTTGACTGTGTCTGGAAACACTGGAAAGTCAAGAACTACCCTCATAAAACCATAGGGACGCTCAATTAATTCCTCTCGTCCAATGAGGGTTCAGTTCCACATGGACCAGACGGGCGTCCATCTGCCGTCCCATAGCGTCCCTCTCCCGTTTAGTGGGGCAGTTACTACTTGGCGGGCTGAAGGTGAAGTGACCTAACGCTGCAGTGTGCGGTGCACATCAGTGTTTCTGTTTAGGAATATGAAACTTTAAGGAGTGTGTAACAAGTTTTTTTCCTGGATCAGCATTACTTCACTTAGGTAAGAAAACATTACTTGAGGACGATTTTGCAATATTTGCTAATGGGACGAAGCCCATTAAATTGCTATGGAATACCTATCATATTGAGAAGGACCACAAACTTTCAGAAAACGTTTTGACTGTAGGCTTTAAGAAGCAGCTTTAAATCCTTTTATAATCCATCGCTAACTACATATATACTGCAATCTATACACATTTCACGTGCATCGCTAATCTTTTCGCTAATACAGATCCTGGTATAATTTTTCTTATTTAGCAAACCTCAGCTGTCTTGTAAAATTTTCACGACGCATTCATACATTACAGTTTAGAGGCAGATAAATCTGCTTATTGCTGTTTTCTGCGTGGCTCTGTGAGGTCGGTCCATGCCATGGATGGTGTGGGACCATCCATGCTGCCGATCGTTCGACGCGTTAGTTTTATTAGGGGTTATATATATGACCGAAGGACATCGACGGCCGACGGAACTGCCTCGCCCATGGCGGGGACACCAATGTGGAACACGCTGCCGGTTTTTCCGAAGTAAAACTGGAGATTTGCTAGACAAAGTTAGACTAAGTGAAATTAATGTATTTAGCCATATGAAAACAAATGTTTGACAGAAAGAAAGCGGCCATTTTGTCGCTGCTGGAGACAACTGCCGGAAAGCTAACTGCATTCCCGCAACATCCAATTTCTCATCGATACGTATCAAATGAAGCAGGGCAGCTGATGGCCATATTATTTTTCTTAGGATGTCGGAATATAACAACTGTTAAAATACCAAAAAAGGTACAATGTCCTTGTTCATAACACAGCCTTTGTTCTGGGTCTGTGTCTTTGGATGGATCTCATGTGCTTAAAATCTTTAGAAAAATGCGCAAGTATCCATTTGAATTATTACTTATGCCAACATGAATGGTAGAAGAATATTCAATAGTAATTTGCTGTCAAGTCTATATGTGTTTTCTCCACTGTCAATGACTGATTAATGTTTTGCTGAGTAATGTTTTGTAATCAATTAATTTCTATGCCAGTGGTGGCTCAAATATCCTGTTATAGCTATGCAATGTCTAATTTTATATTGTTTAAATAAAGTTAGGCAAAATCAACTGAAATCATATCTGTGATATTTGAAATATGTCATCTGATTGACCTTCATCGTACCTACATATAGCCTGGGCAAGGATTATGTCAAAAATGGCAAGGCAAGAGGAAAATAGAACAAGTCAGATTGTATTGCCACTCCTTTAGTCAGAGAATGAGGACAAGTTATAAGCAAAAAGCACCTAAATGTTTTATCTTGAAATCAATGTCAAAGCCTACCTGACAACTTAGTATGGTCTCCCTCATTTTAAAATAATGCAATGCATTAGGTAGGTACATTGCTCTGTGTGAAATTTATGGAGAACTTCACAAACCCCATTACAAATCCGTTTTATAAGCATATGCTTCAAATTGCTGCTTCCCACACTTTACTGAAAGGCTTTTGAGCAAACTCATGAGCAAATTCCATGCCATCATATCTTGATATTGAGTAAACATGTTGACCTCTTAACTGACCATTTACCTTTTTCTATAATCATATCATTGACAAGACAATTCTACACAGACCTGTAAACAATTCATGACACATTTTCTACCCACAAAATTATTATATACACAACTGAACACAAAGCAAATGTTGAAAATAATCACATATCTCTGTTGCCTTTTTGCTGTATAGGTACCTGTCTATAAAACATGAATAATTTGATGTTGAAAGCCTTGTGCCCAGATGAATGTTTGTGGTATTGGTGTTACAGCAAGAAAATTGAAAATTTGTCATGCAGCTTAGAGAAGTTATACCTAGGTAATGTTAAAAATGAAGTGAGATGCCTTCAGTTACTAAAACTCCAGTAGGTACAGTACATTGAAGAGCCATATATTCTTTTTAAGGGAAATAATTACCTATTTACATTAAAGCTAGGTAGGTAGTTACCTGCATGCTAGCATCTTTCCATGTTGTCCTTTATCATCAAAATGAATGGAAACTTTAAAAAAAAGTTGAAGTGATCAGATAGGATAGGTAAAGCAATTTCACAATTCAGTTTATCATCCTCCACACCTTTGTAGTTGTTTCTGAAAGCCACTTCCATTGCTTGTCACACTATTTTTTCCAATATAACTGCAGGTAAATGAATCAATTGGCTCATCTTATATCTACAGACATATGTGACATAAGGACACACGATTTTTAGCATGGATACCCAGTTTTCAGTTCTTAGCATGGATACCCAGTTTCAGTTCTCACCAAGCCAATTAGGTTGGGTACCTACCTACTTACCAGCACCTCCACATAATCGCTCCCCAAAATGCCCCCTGCCACGAACCTCTTATGAAGAGTTTAGAAGTGCGGGATGCAGATTTCCGGCCCATGCAGAGTTTTCATTTCTTTGGCAATTCCTTAACTCCACTTGGAGCTCACAACCTTATATTACCACACCATCACAAAATATAATGTGAAAGTCCTTTCACTTTGCTTACACTGCACAAGACACACATCCACAGCACAGTACAAGCAACTGAAGCGAGCTGTTCACTGTTGCAATTATCTTTCAAATTCAACTGACACCGATAGCTGGTTACCACGCAACGCGCTAGCAAATGGCGTCAGCTTGTCCCACGAATGGCGGTTGCTATGGAAACCAGCTGACGAAACTTTACAGAAACCATTTTCGAACAGGAATTTTGTTTTAACTGATAGGCGTCCAAAGAATTTGTGCGCCGTTTTTCGAAACATGCCCACCACTTTCGCAGTTTTTTTTTCCCTACATTTTACCTACACGGTGTCTCATGAGACACAATGTTAATTCAATGGGAACTGTCTCGTGGGTGTCTCATGGAGGAGATTTGTAGGAACTATTTTTGAAGACACGTAAAGAAATGTAATGACCAAATGCCGTTGACAGCTGATTGTACCGACCAATTGCTACCAGTTAGCTGTTTTTATAGTCATTTTTGTACAGAAAACACAAACTGAAATCTGTCTCGCGGCTACCCTCTTCGGCTCTTTCCTGTCTCCTACATTGTAGGCAAGTAGGAAGGTTTGTGCACCTCTGCTGTTGCAGTAGCACTTATGAAACTCCGAAAACGATCTTCGTTGATATCCCGAACAACATTACCCTGAGGAGATGATCGTCTGCAATAGCCAGAAGAGCTGATGCAAGTACTTTGAAATCCACTATCAACTCGGTGATATTGTTGTAATGATCACTGTGAGGTGAATATTTTGTGCAAGGGCTGAGTGTAATGCCCAGGAGATGACCTCCATTCGCCCCCTGACCAGTCAGGGTTATAAAATTTGAGTGGATGGCGGTCCGTTTGGGGTTCAGATGTCAATTGTATTTTGTTACTGTCAAACAATACATCTTATGCTGGCAGCAAATGTGTGTAACGTCGGTTTTCGAAACAGAAGTTAGAACTGTAACGGCAGAGTGCTTGCTGGTCTCATCGTAAGTATTGTAACAGTATTGTAAGCATTGTCAATATTGTAAGTATTGTGAGCATTGATGTATGGTAGATATCACCTTACATGATCTCGCCCTCAGATAACCCTCTCCGGTGTCCCTGTCAGTAAATGGCACCTGGATCATTACAGATAAGATAATTTGTCATAATTCTTAAAGAATTGGGTGGTTTTGACTCGTTTACTCGAGTCAGGTCGTATTTCAATATTTTTCCATAGGCTTGCAATGTAAAGCTCACGACTCTGACCTAACCTCAGGTCACAGATAAAAATTTTGAGATATGCAAACGACACATACTGCTGGTACTGTTTTGAAGACTTGATAAGAGGAAATAACTTCGTGAAAAACTCAAGCTCTGACGTGATTGCAAACTTTTCTGAGGTGGGTTCAACAAACCCGCTCTGGCTACCTGACCTGACCTGACCCGGCATTTTTTTTTTTTTTTTTGCTGAGATGTGTGCAATGAGCATTTAGGAAATGTCACCAAATATGAGCTGAATGTCTCGCGGCGTTTGACAATTGTACAAGACAATCCTGAAAGGCCTCCCCGTCCGAAATAGGGTTAATGTGTACTCGTATATAAAGAGTTGCAGATGCCAAACATACCCAGATCTATATATGTTTGTAAATAATCAGACATGATTGAGTTTTATTCACGATCGATTGCAACACAAGTCAAATTCCTAAAACCATAATTTGGTTTTAGGAATTTGACTTGTGTTGCCATCGATCGTGAATAAAACTCAATACCCAGATCTAAGACTGCAGTTACCAGCGCCGCTGCAACGTTTTTAAAACAAACATACATACATATAACATACAAACATGTTTATTTGCATCTGTTTTGGATAATAGCAACTAATGGCGCCATCACCCGCGATAACTGTTAGGATTTGAGATATATTTTCATTTAGGCCATTAGTTTGGCTGTAATGTTTATTAATAGGTATTAGTTGGGCGGAGTTTGGTAGTTTTACTTTTTTATTTAACTTGTGGTATGTTGTGCTGATTGCGGGTTGTTCAAACCTTTCAAATGTAAGGACCTTATTGAACTCAATCCTACCCCTACACTACCCTACATACGACTGGACGCTTTCCAAGCCCACAAGCATCACGACGCCGAGATGGAATGTAGCCGGTAAATCACCCTCGCCATCTGCTCTGGAGCTAATCGGTGTGGGGCGGCGTGTGGGGCGCCGCTTAGCCTATGGGGGTGCACTTCTAGTGGATGGGGGACGGGGTGCACCTGCACCCCTTTCATATGGAATGTTACTTCCCTGATTACAGCTCCCCGTATTGCAACTAATCAGGGAACGGCCAGCAAACGAAGGAACTATTTCTGGATGACAGGCGAATAGCCGCTCACGCAAGGAGCGGAGCTCCGCCCCGTCCAAAGTGGCCAACAAAGCAGAAACAGAGGCAGCATCACATCTTCCATCAAAGAACTGGTTTCTGGCTTGGAAGATGAGCTCCATCTTTGTATCCGAGTCGGTGCTGTCAGGAATCAGCTGGTCTAATGGAGTGAGACGACTAGCCATCGTATCAGAGCTGCCTGGTCCTCGTAGCATTTGCACCGATTCTTCTCGATCGGACTCTGAATTCTGTCCCTCCTGCGTATTCCTTGAGGCATTGCTAGCTATGTAGCTAAGTCTTTGGCACAGTTTCATTATCCATGCTTTGCAAACAGTGCCATAACAACACAGTTAATTAATCACCAAGCTTCTTTGCAAGTTCCAATACAGTTGAGTCGCACGCGATTTGAGTGCAAAAATCAAGAGAAGTGCCAACTTGTTCCCGTAAAATATTTTGAATATTGACCTAAAAAATGAGTAATTTCCAGATAAAATAACAGCGAAATCAGTTTTCGCTTGCCAATAAAACTCACAGATATTGAAGCTCCACTATTAAAGGAACATTTTAGTATATGCTATTCTTGATAAAATTTCTTAGCCACGCAATACCAGCGCAAAATAAGGAGACACTGAAAAAACGACCAATCACTCCGATTTACCATAGGTAAATACATAGAAAATATATGTCTCAACTGCGCCAAATATACAGACAGTTATATACCTACATGTGACGTCATGATTAGCCCGACCAATCAGAAGCAAGTTGTTTTCAGTCACAAATAATTAATTTCTGAGCTAACTAGGCATTTTTTTAACAAAATGATTTTAAATTAAATCATGAAAAATTATCAGCTTTCTTATTTTACCAAAATATACAGAGTGTGGAGATAGGTCCCAACCCTATTCGAAAGCTCCGACCCGAACGATTTCTTGTGGAGCTAAGTCTTCATTCAATTATTATATTTTATTTTATGTTACGCTGTTTTCCATTTACTGGTTTTAAGCCTGTCTTCGCCTGTACCTAAGTGGAGATAGCTCTGTTGGCGATTATGCAAATAAATAAGTGAACAAATAAATAAATGAATAAATAAATAAAACAGATTGTAGTAAACTAGATTGGTGCAAAGGCATAAATTCGGGACATGCTAGAAATTCATAAAGTGAAGCTGTTATGGAGTTTTTGGGGTGCCGATCACGTATTTCATGTTAGTTTTGATCACAGATTATGAGTTCATGCATTTAGGCTAGCTCGGGTCAGTTCAGGTCAGGTCAACCAGTAGGCGTCCTGCCGACTATCCATAGTAGGTGTCAACTACCACTGACGGCGTCGTAACATGTTACGAAGGCACTAAAACTACTGAGTAAATGTTCAAACGGATGCCAGGAACATGTAAAACTCGAAAAAGTAAAACAAGGTCCTCAAAGGTCAATGACCTTGACCTGACCTTTACGTGACCTTGGCACCCACCGTAATGCATGGGACGAACATCATTTGACATGTTTGGACGTTTACAACACACAAAAAAGACTGGAAACGCGCGGATAATATGATCTGACTTACGCTGAATCGCGATTTCGGTCAAACATGGTCTCGAGAAAAAGGCCAGGGGTCAAAGGTCATTTGGGTCAAGGTCATGAAAGAAAAAGAGTATGTGTAAAATTGATCAACTCTGGGGTACTGAAAGTTTCGTCGCAATCGTCCGCTTTTTGAGCGAGACCATTCACGAAAAAGTAAAAACCGGGGGGGCGGGTCCATCCAAATACCCCTACAGATGCGAGGGTTAAAACGCTAAAATAAAGTCATGATAGCCGTTTTCATGACGGCCATCTGGCCTTATTCTATGCCACGTTACAATTTACATGGGTTTTCAGCAATACTTAACGCTTAGGTATGATCGCTCAAATCATTTTAGGGCTGCATAACTATACGTTAAAGGAACTATCCCACCTTCTAAAATGTTGTTAAAACCAGTTAAATTGTGCCCGACTTTATAGATTGGATGACCAGGAACACGGTTCTGGCATTTATTTTTCATTAAACATCTTAGGCTTCCCATATTCCAAACACAAACTTTCAAATATGTGACGTCACTGCCCAAAATTACCTCCTTCCCCAGGCCACATTACTGTCATAAAGCTTATTATTTTTACTCTGTAGGCACCACAACAAAGTTCAGACCAAGTTTTAAGCGATTTTTCAACGAACAAACCCATTTAAATCAGAATGACTAAATGAGGTGACGTCACACTAACGGTCGCTCCATGTTAAAGATAGGGCCTTGCGCAAGGCCCATTTTCAAATGAAGGGAACGAATTTCTTCAACACCAAGAGGCCGCGGGGGTTGCAACCTAGATAGATAGTGGTTTCTGAACCTCGCCGCAAACTTGGCTATCTCAACTCGAACCCCATGTTAAAGGTGGGATAGTCCCTTTAACTTCATTTCATCGCTTGTCGTTTTTATCGTTCATTACCTTGCATTGTTTTCTTTATCTTGATATGTGTTTGCGTCTTTTATTCGAGTGTAGGTATGTGCGCGCTACTGGACGCCATATCCTATCCATTGCTTTTGATACCTATGACACCGTCTTTTAGTGGGCAAATTCCTGTTGACAGTTTCGTGATAAAAATACAAATACAAATTCGCATACATCGTGACTTTTTACTTATGAAGATGAATACGAGATAAAGAGCAGGGGAACTTAAGCGATGATTAGGTAAAAAACGGCGAAAGAAAAATATGAGACTGAGTATGCAGGACCACGAGTGCTGCTGCTGCCCAGTTGGCGGCTTCAAGGTCGTCCGTGGTCATCGAAACTTGGTCTAATAATCGATTTCAATCAAGATAGGCGACTTTATCGGTCATTTCGATTACGGTGACCTCAGGTGACCTCAGTGACCTTGACAGGTCAACTTAATGTTCTTGCCTATTGCTAGTTATTGGTGAGGTGAAATTGCGTCCGGCGAATCGGCAATATGCTTTTTTGTCTCGATTGGCCCAGTAGCTTCCCTTTCCACTAATTTGCTGAGTCGAGTCCTCAGTCATATGATGGCTGAAAAGGCAAAAAACGTCAAATTTACCTCTCAATGTCACTGAGGTCACCTGAGGTCACCATGTTGCAAACGGTAGATTTACCCGCGCCCCGCTGGGCTATTCAGCCATACGCACCCTGCTGGGGGGGGGGGGGGGGGCAGATTCTGCCCCCTGTCTAACTTCCGAACCGATGGTCGTAGAAAGACGGGGAAAACGGCAATCGAAAGCTCTCAACAAGGCGGATCTAAAGAGCCCAATTTTTTTTGCTTAAGTAGGTCAGAGGTCAGGTCAAGGTCAGGTCAAGGGTACAGAATGTAAGTTTCTACAGTATCGGCCTTGCACCGTAGTTGCCGGAAAATGGACTGAGACTGATTACCCAAAACGTGTTCTTAGACTACCAAGACAATATTCGTTGCTTACAATGTCATTCAAAGGTCAAGGTCAAGGTCAGGTCAGGTCAGGTCAGGTCACCAAAAACAAAATATAGAAAAGGGCATGTGCGACACATGTTTTATGGGTCATTTTACTCATAGAATTCAATAGGCACACTCAATAAGTGATATGGACCACCTCTGGATGAATTTCAGGTCGAGGTCAGGTCAAGGTCAGGTCAAGTGAGGTCAAATTTTGAAGTTGGTTGTTAAGGCCTAAAAAGGTGTCTATCTGATGCAGGTTTTCACGGCGAATCGAATGGTGATATTTTTGTTTCCGTACGAGGTCTAGAACTTCCAAAAAATCATTTTTCAAAATTTTTGTGTGTCGTTACGTCATAAAATTTTGAATAACTCCCACATTTTTGAGCCGATTCTTCTTAAAAATGGCATATAGGTGCACATAGACTACTTCTCTGACATATATTCCGGTTTTTTCGATACACTCAAAATTTTGGATTTTATAATAATTTTCCCAAAAAAGTCAGTTTTTTTAAAAAATTTGGGCCAAAATCCAAAATTTTCAAAAAACCGAGATAGCCATTTGATAGACAAGGTAGAATCACGTATAACCTTTTTTGTTACGTCATGACGTCACAAAAACGTCAATATCTCAAAAATTTTCCGACGGATTTCGCTCAAATTTTCAGGGAACGTGTCAAATCGATGTATGATAAGGTCAGGGGGGCGACACGGCTATTCACGCAATGTATTCATTTGCGGGCCTCGCGGGGCCTCGCGATGACGCGGCTGGAGGCAACCACTCAGCGCGCTAGGATCCTTCTGGCGGGGCCGGGCGCCGTAAGCTGTGCAATGAATGGGCGGGCAGACGGAGATGAGGCAGGTATTGAATTTGAAATGACATCATGAGCAATTGGATGGGGAGAGAGAACGTTTCTAATGGAGCTTGGGATTGGGGAAAACCAAAAATATCACGGTCGGTTCAGTGCTCCGACGGGGCCGGGCGCCGTACGATGCGTAGTAATTTAGACGGGCAACCAGAGATGAGTTATCGGATTCGGCTCTCTCGTGGGATTTTAAGACATTTTTAGTTAAGCTCAGGGTGGGGCAACCCGCTGGCGGATCCAAGGGAAGGCATTTGGGACAAATGTTATCCCCCACAGGCCCACATCCGGGGCAGCGTCCGAAATCGTTTTTCGAGAATAAAACGAAAACTTCATAATTTTTATGAGGAAAAGTTTATTGATCGAACTGCACAGTAGTGCGCAAGGAATCGAAATCCGATGTTTTTTTTAAATTCACAGAAACCTTTCTTAGGGTATATGCCCCCCGATGTGTTCAAGACCGCTTCCTGGATCCGCCAGTTAAGAATATGTCACGGTCGATTATCGAGCTTCGGCGGGACTGGGCGCTGTATGTGTCGTACCTACAATGAAGAGGCGTACAGACACCTCACCCCACATCCTACTGCTCTATACGTGCCTCTGGGTGAAGCACTGAAGCATCACGGAAGCCCACAGGGTCTGCGAGTCGACGAGGTGGCCGCCGGATACTGAAGCTCCCCGGAGTTGCCCGGGACCGAGGGTTTAACAGTAGTAATTTCACTGGTGGTGAATCCTCGTAATGTAGAGATAATATCTTCAAGGACCTCCGTTACGATTTTATATTCCTAAACAATATGGCAGACCAATTATGCTTGCCTACGTTCAGGCACTATCCCTGATGCTTATCCGCCCACTACAACATGTGTTGTCTGTCAATCAACCGTCGCTCGACGACGGGATCAATTCTAACCATCGGTATTCGATTGTCAATTCACCCACCCTGTTTCCCTATAAATAGACGGGTCAGACTCGGCTTGGGTCCTAACGACTAACGAGTCCTAGAATCGCCAGAGACGGGATCGGGTCGCCGTTATTGCACCGGTCTTGGCGTCTTTTGGTACATATAGAGTAGACAGCTTCGACCACCGACGTCGGACCGTTCTACGAATGTGCGCACCATCCAGGCCTAAGATGCGTCGAGCTTTGTAAGAATGCAGTCTAGATCAATCAACATAGCAATGGTGGTATGCAAACGCTTTAAAATCTCTCCCCGGCTCCCGCAACGTCCCAATGCTCCTCCGTTATACGCTCGCTCGATGCGTCCACCGAGCCGGCTTGCCTCCAATGACGTCATCGGCCGGCCGGCGGCGTTCAAGGTCAAACGGCTGGTGTCCTTACCTGGAGTTCTATAGCCTTGGATAAGGTACTGAAAGTTTGACGTCGCTGGCGTAACGCGTTTAGAAGTTATTGGCGAAAAACGGGAGGGGGCAGATTCTGCCCCCCCCCCCCCAGCGGAGCGCGGGTTAACTTGGCGCTGTTCGGTCGCCGTTGGTGTTTTTCATAAGCAGGCTGCCAGCTTGCCGAACGCTTGCGTTTTCAGCTTTTCATTGGTTTTTTACCTTGGGCAATTTGGGGCAAATGTCTCCCTCACAGCGCCCGAAATCGATGAATATTTGTCGTTTTTCAAATTTTCTAGAACTGAGAACAGACAGAAATGACTAAACTCTTATTGGGAAAAGTTCGCCCTATAAGTTAACTGCACCACGTCCAACCGACTCAGTGCGTAAGGAATCGAAATCTGAAGAGTTTTTATCGTTATCTCTCGTTATTGTTAAAATAACTGACACTGAAAAGCGCTCTAGATTCAAATGGTACTTTTTTCGTCCCGATCGGCGTGGTAATTGCTGGGTTAACGGATGGCCGCAAGGTGGCGGTCAAATCGAATAGTGTCGCTCACCTTTTCCGTACTGCCTGTTTGACGAACGTCACTTTGAAAGACAACTATCCCGCAGCTGGTTCATTCATTTCTTGTTCAAAAAAGACGCTAGCAGCTGATGAGGTATCACGAGCAGGATAATGCCCTATTTTGATTGCTTCTTCATGAAACGGTAAAGTACTGGCAGCAGCTGGGCAGCAGGCTATGAACATTGACTTTTACTTTTCACTACCCTCGCACCTCACCACCCCCTGCCCTCACCCTCTTACCAAGCATAACATTTGACACAAGGTATATAGAGAACTATATCGTGTAGTGCTTTTGCAAGGAGCATTGATAATACTATAAATTAACTTTGAAGCGACCTTCTCCTTGATATTATGTCAAAAATGAAAGAATTATTTACATTTGCATTCGGGCACAGCCCATCATCAGATGTATATTTGAAAAGACAGCATATACATCGTCACAAAAACAAGAATCGACATTTCAAATTCAGCTCGTGAAAATGACACATCAGTATCCTTCGCGCCGTATGGTACCTATCTATATAAAATACACCTATAAACACACACACAAGCACAATTTTGGGGCACACACATACGATAAACTTGTTCTCACATGATACGCCACGAGGACAGATTTTCGTTCAGCCTAGGTTTTTTTCCCTTATGTACAGTGATTCAGTAATTTTCCTATCCGGATGGTCCTTAGTTTTCTTCAAAATCCTAACCTCCAGTGGCGGGTCAGCCAGCTTTTCTGCCTTCGACATCCCCGCGTGACACTCTGAAAAATGGTCACCGATCGGGGTAAGCTGTGTCTCGTTGGCAGCACCCCTCAAATGTTCATTGTATCTAAGGCGCAAAGGCCGTTTCGACTCGCCGATATACTTAGCTCCACATAGCGTACAGGAGAGCTCATAAACCACGTTTTTGTCCGTGCACCTACCATTCTGCAACCTCCTGCAAGTGTTGCAGATCCTGTTGCCCGAAGGGCACGGTGGATCGCCAAACGATGAATGCACTAGCTTTTGTTTCAATGTCTCTGGCGTGTATGAGGCCACCGTAACATCCAGCCCAGAAGCACGAGCCGCCTTCTTCACCTTGCATAGCAGTTTCATTGACATAAGGCAAAAGATGTCGAAGGCAGAAAAGCTGGCTGACCCGCCACTGGAGGTTAGGATTTTGAAGAAAACTAAGGACCATCCGGATAGGAAAATTACTGAATCACTGTACATAAGGGAAAAAAAACCTAGGCTGAACGAAAATCTGTCCTCGTGGCGTATCATGTGAGAACAAGTTTATCGTATGTGTGTGCCCCAAAATTGTGCTTGTGTGTGTGTTTATAGGTGTATTTTATATAGATAGGTACCATACGGCGCGAAGGATACTGATGTGTCATTTTCACGAGCTGAATTTGAAATGTCGATTCTTGTTTTTGTGACGATGTATATGCTGTCTTTTCAAATATACATCTGATGATGGGCTGTGCCCGAATGCAAATGTAAATACTTCTTTCATTTTTGACATAATATCAAGGAGAAGGTCGCTTCAAAGTTAATTTATAGTATATAGAGAACTATTTGACAATTGTTAAAACAGTGGTCTGCAGTGGTCTTGATACGACCTGCAACAAGTTTGCCTTTGCTGTAGGCTCACTTTTTTGACTTAACTCCTTTTTCTACTGTGTTTCTATCTACATTTACATAGGCATGGCCGCATGAAATGAATTGAGTCAAGTTTTAGGCATAAATTAGTGGTTCATAGGTGCATGTGATAGCGCTAAATGCTAATAATGCTTGTATGTGTAATTAGCTAAGTATGCACCCACCTATCAAGTAGGTATTGAAGTGAGCATTAATATTGAAATCTAAGAAGTCAGCATTGTCATTGATGGGCCTTTCCTGCAGTGGTGCCCCTTGACACAAATTGAAAAATTAAATTGTTGACCTTTGTGTGGTAGTCTAGTTAATAAGGTCTCTTTCTGTCTTATGCTTAGGTGGGATTGCGCTTGCTATCAGAGGGCTCCATTCTGACCCCTGTCCAGGCCCAGGGGCTCTGCAAGGTTGTTAGGATTGGGGTTTGAGCCATAATATTGATCCCTTAAGTACAGATGTACAAAAGAATCAGCACTGTTGGTGTGCCCAGACCCCTGTAACCCATGGTCACAGCACCTCTGCACCTGCCCCTCCTTAGTTGTAGAGAGCCAGCTAGACACAGGATGTGTTTGTCACCATCTACCTGTAACAGTCGGGGAAACTATGGCAAAATCTGCTTTTTTAGCAGTCTGCTATTTTTAACAGAAATCTGCCAAAAATGGGTACGCATGTGACGTCATCGTACCCAATTATAGCAGATTTGGGTGCAGCCCCATACAAAAGCAGATCTGCACCCTAATTGAAGCAAATGCACATCAAATGCCTGGCAGGTTCATGATGAGAATAGTGCTGAGAATGTCCTCTGATATTTTTGTTCAGATCCGACTATTTTTAAATAATGAATTTGAAAATAGTCGGATCTGAACAAAAAAATCAGAGGACATTCTCAGCACTATTCTCATCATGAACCTGCCAGGCATTTGATGCGCATTTGCTTCAGTTAGGGTGCAGATCTGCTTTTGTATGGGGCTGCACCCAAATCTGCTATAATTGGGTACGATGACGTCACATGCGTACCCATTTTTGGCAGATTTCTGTTAAAAATAGCAGACTGCTAAAAATAGCAGATTTTGCCATAGTTTCCCCGACTGGTAACCTGTGATACATAAAGCTTTCAAATAAAATTATGACCTTTGACCTGGACACCAGTAGTGGCGGAACACCTTCAATGAAGGGGGGCACTGCCGACTTTTGATCCCATTCTTTCCATGCAACACCCATAGGGATAATGTAGGGCTAATGTTTAGATGCCAAAATCAAAGGGGGGCACGGTGCCCCGGTGCCCTCCCCGTTCCGCCGCCTGTGCTGGACACAGGTGAGGCCAGCTGTTGGGCCTGTGGTGTCTTTGCAAGAAGCACCAATTGTTGTGGTCAAAGGGTGGCACCAAGGTCCAAAGGCACCCATACAGACTAAAAGAAAATACTTGTAATTTGTAAATAATTGGTACCTACTTGCCCTTGGTAGTGACGCAAGGCACTAGTCATTGAGAATCCCACAAGTCATTACAAACAACAGCAGCTGTCAATTTCAAATTCTTATTTCAAGGAAATTCTTATGAATTATAAATGCATATGGTAAAAAGATGTATCAAGAGATGTAGGTACATCAAGTGTTATTGTATCATTTTTCAGTCTTATTCTTACCTAATGCCTACCTCACCTCATTTCAGCTAACTCTGCTTCTGTGCTCTCACTTCATCAGGAAGCAATGGAGGGCGAACTGAGGTTCGACGGACAGGTGGCCGTTATAACGGGCGCTGGCGGCGGTAAGTGACCTGAGGGGTGCTGAGGTGTGGTGTTTAGTGACATTAGGGATGGGTAGAGGGAGGGGTTGAGTGATGAGTGGGGGACGGGTACCAAGAGGCAATGGTTGGGTGTGAGAGAGATTGGTGGCTATGAGCGAGGTGATGGAGAGTGAATGTTGATGAAGTGATGAGGGATGAGCGGGGATCGTATCATTCGGCGGTCGTTAATTCCCTCACAGATCTGTGTTTTCTGCTGATGCTTCTGATCCACTGATGTTACCAGCTGATCATCACTGAAACAAACTGTGTACTGAATGAGTCATTGGAGTTGTCTGGTGATAAGTTTCATTCCATGACTCCCAGTGCTGCTGCTGGTGCCGATTGGATTATGTGATGTTACGGCCCGCTGTCGCCGGGTCTGGGCTGCGAGTACGCCCTGTGCTCCCTGTATGACGGTCCGTTGTCTGCAGGTCTGGGCCGCGAGTACGCCCTGCTGCTGGCGGCCCGCGGGGCCGCGGTGGTCGTCAATGACCTCGGCTCTTCGGCGGACGGGCAGGGCCGCAGCAAAACCGCTGACAAGGTCGTGCAGGAGATCAAGGGCAAAGGTGAGGGTCCCCTCTGGGGTCGGAAGCATCGTCGGCACCGACCGATCGCCCTTCTGCATAGGTCGGCTGTGAACTGCTTCCAGAGTCCAGAGTTCGTGCATTTATCAGCGGCTGCAGGCTAGCAGAGATTTGTCAAGATGTTCATTTAGAAGTGTTTTATGCATGTGCTTGAAAACGATTCAACCAGGAAGCAAGGACTGGTAAGGTCCTTATGTCAAAAGTGGGACTTCGACATAAGCTGCCTCTCAGTCTACATCCGTCTAGTGTTTCTCCCTACATCTCGCCCTCTACTTTTTACTCCTTCGATCTCCCTCTCTCTCTCTCCCTCAGTGTCAGAAAAGTGGTTTGGGGATCTAAGTTCACGGAACAAAATTTTTGGCTGCTCACGGAACAAAAATCCTGAAGTAAGGCACTATAGGGCCATGCGTATTGTTATAGGTACGCTTTAAGTATAAAGATATTTGCCAGAGTCTCAGTCAAAAACAGCAGCTTCTACATATAAAATAAGGGTTCAAGGAGCGCAGCAGGTTGTGGTCTTACAGCCCAAGTGTTAGACTTATTTATAACTAGTTAGGAAATCTGGACATGTAGGTAATGGATGACCACTGATGCTAAAAATTATTCATGATGGAAAATATACAAATTATTATTAAAATTGTGAATGAAGTGAGAAATATGAATGGGGTATAAAATATACACAACATCCAGAATCTGCTTTTCATGCCACATTTTAACACCAGTATAACACCTTATGGGGCGACTAACGGAGCGAGCGAGAGGGTGGGCCTTGCACGTGCGAAATTTCGAGGGGGTACCTCCAACTGACTTGTGCACGGCACCCTACTAACCGGTCTCTAGCGATGTGCCAAATTTGAGCACAATCGGCCCAGCCGTTCTCGAGATCTGGAAGCGGCACCCTGTACGTGCGCACGTGCAAAATGGGTCCCAACTGACTTGTGCACGGCACCCTACTAACTGGTCCCTAACCGTGTACCAAATTTGAGCGCAATCGGTCGAGCCGTTCTCGAGATCTGGAAACGACCCCTGCACGTGCGCACGTGCAGCAGCACCCCAACTCTGGCACATGGATATGCAGGGCCTAGTGGGTGCCTACCTACATGCCAACTTTCAGCGCAATCGGCCAAGCAGTTACCGAGATATTGCAACAATTACAAAACTGACACCTCTTTGTTTTGCACGTGGCACGTGCATAAGGGGTCACCCACATGCATCGGGAATAGTCCAATACTTGGTAGAAGGAATGAAGCTACCCTACAAAATTTACCGAATGTAAATCGGTCAAGTGGTTGCTGAGATATAAGCCTCGCAAAAGCGTCCGCACGGCCGGCCGGCCGGCCCATAGGCGCGGGAGCCGGGGGGGCAGTGGGGGCAGCTTGCCCCCCCCAACTCTAGGGCCGTGGGGGCGGTGCCCCCACAACTTTGAGACGAAATACCGCACTTTTTTGCAAATGTTTTTTTTTTTGTTGAAAAAGCCAAGGGATGAAAAATAAGTGGCCTAAAACCGGTGAGAAAACTAGATTTGGGGGTACCCTAGGTTGATCTCCATTATGGTGTGCCCCCCCAGTCTGAAAGTAGTTCCCGCGCCTATGGGCCGGCCGGCCGCTCATACTCAGAAATTTCCGTTAATCTAAGGAAAGACTACGCTCGCTTCGCTCGCTCCGTAATGAAACAAAAACTGCTGAGTATATTGAAATACTATTTGAAATACATTAAAGCAACATCAAAACATAACCAAGTGGACTGGTACCTACCTACCTATATGGTATCAGTATAAATGGCCTTGTACCTACCTATCCTATCTAATACAAGTTTGACAAATTTGACGCAATCCAGCTTGAAACAAATAACGAACCACAAAGACACAAAAACATGCCAGCACTTTAAGTAAAAGGTCTTGTGCAAGACAACCCCCCCAAAAAACATGCCACATATGATTATTGATTATATAATCAATAATAGATAATTGTCCACGCGCTTGCCCAAACGGAGACCTCGCACCTCGAGCCTTGAGAAATGGCGCGGAGGCCCGCTGGCGAGGGAAATTAGAGGAAAGGGATTTCCTCTTTACTGGTTTTCAATTTGATAAAATTGATTCAAATTAATGAATACTTCAAAATAGCATATAAAATGCAAAAATAATATAAAATAAATGTATATTTGACCTCAAGCTGGCTGCTTCATTCCAAATAATATGTTAAAAAGCAAAGGGATTTTATGCCCTACATTACTTCATGTAAAAGTGATATCAGCATATGTCGGTATTATACCTGTAATCGGCATCAACTGGGCAAGAATTTTATGCTATGAAAAGCGCCGTCTCTCAACGATTCTAACGGTATCCAATTTTTTATAAAATATAGTCGGAAATGCTTAAACGTTCCAAATTCAGTGAGTTGTTCCGTGACGAAACATGGTCACGGCGTTTCGATAAAACTATATGAAAACGTCTATAAAAATATAAAAAATTGGCATAGAAACAATCAGAATTGAACAATCTACGATGCCATACCAAATTTGAACCGATTGCAAGCCTATTTCAACCTTTATTCTACCCTTACTTTTGTTCCGTGTCGCGGAACAAGAATATCATAAATTGAGAAATGCACTGCCATTGAAATGCCGTTATGAGGATATGGCAGCCTCACTGAAAGGTCAAAAGAGACGTCTATCAATTCAGCAGCAACGAATATCAGCCTCACAGCAGCATATTTCGGGGTCTTTCTATTTGGCTGAAAAGCGGTATACAGGGCCTCCTCGATGCACTGATTCCGAAAATGTAACTCTTTGGGGTGGTATTTTGCACCGTTAACGAGTTAACGGCCAGTTAACATTTTAACGGGAAACAGCGGGGTCTTTCGATTTGGCTGAAAATCAGTATACAGGGCCTCCTCGATGCGCTGATTCCGAAAATGTACCTCTTTGGGGTGGTATTTTGCACCGTTAACGAGTTAACGGCCATTTAACATTTTAACGGGAAACAGCAAGGTCTTTCGATTTGACTGAAAATCGGTGTCCAGGGCCTTCTCGATGCGCTGATTCCGAAAATGTACCTCTTTGAGGTGGTATTTTGCATCGTTAACGAGTTAACGATCCGCTAACATTTCAGCAGCATATATCGATTTCAGCAGCAAATTTTCGGGGTCTTTCGATTTTGCTTAAAATCGGTGTACAGGGTCTCCTCGATGCGCTGATTCCGAAAATGTACCTCTTTGGGGTGGTATTTTGCACCGTTAACGACTTAACGACCAATTAACATTTTAACGGGAAACGGCGGGGTCTTTTGATTTGGCTGAAAATCGGTATACAGGGCCTCCTCGATGCGCTGATTCCGAAAATGTACCTCTTTGGGGTGGTATTTTGCACCGTTAACGAGTTAACGACCAATTAACCCTCGCCCCGTTGGGGGGGGGGCCATTTTGGCCCCCCCCTGTGGTTTTTCCTGAATAGTAAGAAAACGGCGGCGCGCAGCGCCGCCAAATTTTCAGTACCTTCCTGGGCATCAATTTGACACCTTCACACAAAATTTCAAGTCTTAGGTCACCTTAGGTCAGGAGTTATTGAGGTCAAACTGAGGTCATGTTCGAGCAAAAATGAGCAAAAAACATGCAATCTTGAAACGCTCACCAAATCTACAGTTATCAAGCAATTTTAAAGTTCTTTATATGGTCTAGTAGACAAAAAGCGGCGCTACAAAACTGCTATCTCGGATTTTCAAAATTTTTTGTTTTTGACCCCCAAAAATTCAAAAAATTGATTTTTTTAGAAAAACTAAAAAAAAATCCAAAATTTTTCCGAATTTCGAAAAAACCGGAATATATGTGATAGTCCCTGCGCTCTTCTATATACATACCAAATTTCAGATCGATATCTCGTTTTTTGGCCAAGTTATAGCAAAAAAACTGTTCAAAAATGATGACGTCAAACTTTTGAACTCAATTTTTAGCGATTCTAGACCACGTACGGCAAAACAAAGACCACCATTGAACTCCCCGTGACGAGCTGCATCGATTCGATACCCATTTTATGCAAAAATATCAACTTTGAAATTTGACCTAATTTGACCTGACCTTGACCTGACCTTGACCTGACCTTGACCAAAACGTGACCTAGGCTGGCCCCAAAGGCTGCCTGACCCACATAATCGCATTTGTCATGTGAAATGGACCATAAAACATGTATCACACGACACTTTCATATTGTGACCCCCCAGTGACCTGACCTCTGTGACCTGACCTGGTATCAGTGACCTCAAATAGCAAAATATGTGTTTGAAGAACATTTCCCCATCGATGATTTTCAATGAAATGCATTTTACTCGATTTTACAACGCATTTCTTGAAATGCCTATAAACGGTGAAAATTGGACCTTTGACCTGACCTGTGACGTCATCGGTTTGACCTAGGTCAATAAAATTGGGTCACAAGGTAGTTCCCTGATAGGGCTATCCAACACCGTTTGCCGCTTGTCGCTAGGTTGCGTGGTTCTCGAGATCTTAGGGGGGGGGCCAAAATGCCCCCCCCCCCAACGGGGCGCGTTGCTCGGCAGAGCCCAACGGGGCGCGGGTTAACATTTTAACGGGAAACGGCGGGGTCTTTCGATTTGGCTAAAAATCGGTATACAGGGCCTCATTGATTCGCTGGTTCCGAAAATGTACCTCTTTGGGGTGGTATTTTGCACCGTTAACGAGTTAACGACCAATTAACATTTTAACGGGAAACAGCGGGGTCTTTCGATTTGGCTGAAAATCGGTATACAGGGCCTCCTCGATGCTTTGATTCCGAAAATGTACCTCTTTGGGGTGGTATTTTGCACCGTTAACGAGTTAACGGCCAGTTAACATTTAAACAAGAAACAGCGGGGTCTTTCGATTTGGCTGAAAATCGGTGTCCAGGGCCTTCTCGATGCGCTGATTCCGAAAATGTAGCCCTTTGGGGTGGTATTTTGCACCGTTAACGAGTTAACGACCAATTAACATTTT